CGAATGTATCTAATACGTGGCTTGATACATCCGTATTTAGACAAATCTAAGACAAGAAATTTGAGACAGAGGGAGTAGTGTTTTAGCACCTTTGGTTCTGAGTTTTCCTGGTAAATTAGCATGATAACTTGTTCTGACATGGGTTTGTTCAATAAAAAAGGATCTTTTTTATGTTGAATAAGTGTTAAAGGATGCTAATTACTCAATGCACACACTTGGTAATCTATATTGACTCGAAATGGTAACTCAGTTATTAATGAGAAATTTCATACATGTAGTTCTAACATGCTTCAAAAAAGATAGCTTAATAGAATGACGATGATAGCCTATATGGATTTATGATGGTAACTCAATGATGAGGTAACTCAATGATGTAGTTTGTAGGTAGGAACATGGATCAATTTTTACCAACTTTTTGGCATTAAAAGAGGCAAATTTATTCAATCTTTGTTGGTAACCTGACTGAATTTGAATGGTAACTCAATTACAACGGAGGAATTACACACATGTAGTAAAAGGCTACCTTCTTATGCATCTTGTTGGCTTTGTTCTTTAGTTCTTGTTGTTCTTTTCCCATGTTTTTTTGCCTTGATTTTATTGGTATTAAATGTATATGCAGCATGTGTATAGAGGTTGAATCACTTACCTCCTTGATTTTTGCCTGATTATGGCGAAATTCAGATGAACTGGGGTATTTGTCCCAGTAGCATGTGGTAACCCTTGTGATGTTGATGTGGTAAGCTAGACCCCTCTCTTAAATCCTTGTGTTTGGTAGTGTTTTTCGTGGGTTTTTTGGTGGATCAGATCTGGGGCGCATGTCGTCGGCGATGGAGGCGCGTCGGGGAGAGACGAGAACAGATCGGGGCAGGTGGCTGTTTCTTGCGATGGAGGTAAGAAAATAGGTTTTAGGATGGTAAGTCACGTGCGGGGGAAGGTGAGCGAGAGGGGCTTTCTTTTTTGTCCTGGGCCTCATGCGTTGTGCATGCTGGGCCTCGCGAAAGAAGGCTAGGTCATCGTGGGTGGCTCTGGCAAAGCGGGTCGCGCGGGAGGGACGTGGGTGTACGATCGTGCGGATCTGATGTTTAGTGTCCAGTCGACTGGTGGTTAGTCGCGTCCTTAAAAATATTGAAGAAGTATTTGAAAATGTTGAATAACTATTAGAAAATGCTAAACAAGTATTTGAAAAATGTAGAACATATAATTGAAAAAAGTTGAACAAGTATTTAAAAATATTGAATAAGCGTTCGAACAATATTGAACGTGTATGCAAAAAATGTTAATCACTTTCTAACATTTAAAAAACGTTGATCACTTTCTTTGTGGCTGGGCTGGGCTGGGCCGGGCTGCTACTTGGGAGACGGTCAGATGGGCTAACATTTTGACGACCTAACTAAGAAGAAGTGCATAGAGCAGGGAAAACCCTCGTTCGCCCATTCCACTCCTCTCGCCCCCACCCGCCGTCTTCCCATGGCCTCCGCCGCCGCCGCCGCCGCCGCCACCCGGGCGAACAGCCTCTCCCGCATCTTCTCCTCCTCCTCGCCAACCGTCAAACTACCCAAGCGCAATCCCAAGACCAAGCGCGCGCCGGCGCCGCCGCCGAAACCGTCCGCCGCCGATGCTGACTCCATCGCGGGACAGAAGCTCCTCGGCGTACAGCCCGCCGCCAAAGCTGAGTCCGATGCGGACCACAAGCTCCCGAAGCCCCTTGACGATATCCTCATTGCCCTCATCCGGCAGCGCAACCCTGATAAGCTGGTCTCCGAGTTCGTCCAAGCGTCAACCGTGTCGTCGCGCTTCCGCGAGCGGCACCGCGTGTACGAGGTAGCGGTGAGCCGCCTCACTTCCTTCGGCCGCCAAGACGGCATCGAGGCCATCATCGAAGCGCAGAAGCCCTTCCTCGAGACCTCAGACGAGGGATTCGCCGCGCGCCTCATCCGCCTCTACGGCCGTGCCTCCATGCCATCCCACGCTACCGCAACCTTCCATGAACTTCCCGCGCAGCATAAATCCACCATGACATTCAACGCCCTTCTTGCAGCGTACGCCGAAGCCGGGGATTTCGATGGGCTCACTGCTGCATTCCAGGAGATCCCAGCCACCCACCCCTCGATTGTTCCCAGCGTATACTCTTACAACATACTCATCCGCTCATTGTGCCAGAAGCCTGACCTCTCAGCTGCTCTTGATGTTGTTCTTCTCATGGAGAAGCACGGTGTTTCAGCTGACATTATTACTTTCAACACTCTGTTGAATGGGTTTTGTAACAATGGCCCCACGGATGAAGCAGAGACAGTATGGGAGATGATGAAGGAGAGGAATTTGGAGCCAGATGCAAAGTGCTACAATGCCAAGCTGCGGGGTTTGGTTGCAGAAGGGAGGATTGATGATGCAGCTGCTGTGCTTGAGGGATTGGAGAAGGACGGGCCAAAACCCGATACGGTGTCCTACAATGAGTTGATTCGAGGATATTGCAAAGCGGGGAGGTTACAGGAGGCCAAGAAGCTGTATGATGATTTGGCAAAAAATCACTGTGCCGCAAATAAGGGAACATATGAGACTCTCGTGCCACACCTTCTGCAGGCTGGAGACCTGGATTGTGCACTGAGGTACTGCTATGAAATGTTTAGTGGTAAAAGGAGCGGTAGAGTGGAGTGTGGTGTGCTGCAGGATGTAGTGAATGCATTGGTAGATGCATCGAGGGTGGAGGAGGCTGGCAAGCTTGTTGATATCGGGCGGAAGAAGTACTACTCACGAAAGGGTTTGAGGATGCGAGGTAGTGCAAAAGGCAGTGAATTAAGAGCTGAAACTGATGAGTAAGAAGCAATATCAGAAGAAAAGGAGTGTGATGTGGAACACAAGACTGAAAAGTAAAATTCATTGGTCAGGCTTTGACTGATGCATCAGTCAAAGTGGTCGGACCCTTCCCTGGACCCTGCGCAAGCGGGAGCTACATGCACCAGGTTGCCCTTTTTTTTTTTAGGCTTTGACTGATGCATGCCAAATTTCACCATGACTTGTTTTACTCAGTTTCTCTGTTTGCATGATAGAACAAGAAGTGCAAGTTAAAGTAGTGGTTTAACTAGTTTAATAAGGTATTGGTTTAGCTTGCCCTGTGATGTAATACTTATTGAAAATCTTTTTTTCCATTTTAGAAGAGATCCACAGGAAGTCTTTATTCTTACCTGCAATGTCTTGCTTGTGCTGATTTTTCTTCTTGCATCAAATTCCTTTTATGAATGTAATATTTGTGTTTGGAAACATCCTCCAAGAGTTGTGTACTTTATGGATACTTCTATTTTCTAGACATTGATGATTCAACTGTTAGCTCTGTGATGAAGATAAACACACATACCTCCCACTTTGTTGATTCTTACTTTTTTATTATAGTATTTCTCTTCGAAGCATGGACAATGCAAATGTTATGACATACATGAAGTTAAAAGGCCTTTGATCAATGATTAGCTTCGATAGTAGTTTCTCAGGTTACTAGTTTGCCAAACTAGGGGTCAATAGTTGTACTATTTTCATTTGCTGTAGTGAGCTTTGTTTTTCACCTTTTTTGAACTGATCTTCATATCTGATCATATAGTGAGCTAGTAGAGTTGTAAACCAAACAAGGAAGAACTGTATGAATTAGGATAGTAGGTGAACTACTGATTTCTCACAATTCGGATTCTTGCTTCCTAAGAAGATGGTAGGAGCCGACCTCCTTTAATTACGAGAATATACACAGAATGCTATTTAGCATTTACCATATTTACTCATTTGAATAAAGGCTGTGTTTTTGTGATGAATTTGACTTCAGTATGAAACTGCTAGGCTTTGAGACTATCCTCAAAATTCTTCCGAGAGTTCAAACTATGCAAAAATTAAGCATGTAATCAAATAAACAATTGTTTTGTGGTTTTATTAAAATACCGATAGTGTTGTCAAATGTCAGGACTAGAATCATGTATGAAGTATTACCTGTACGACTCCAGCAATGTTACTCTTTGTGCATTTCTTTTAATTAGAGGTAGTGAGCCACCCCAGGTTCGAGCCTTGGTGGGTTGACAGGTTGATGCTGCACCTTATCGACCGACCAGTGCTCAGTGCTGTGCTTTCCATTTGTTCATGTCAAATTTACCATATCTGGCAGCAGATTATTACTTTCTGTGCACTGTTCAGGTGGATTGATCATCGTTTATTAGACAACTATTTTGCAGTGACACTTCTCTTTCTATACGAGCAATGGAAGAATTTCCACGGATCCTCTAATCCCTAATAAGGTATGTATTTGTCCCCTGATACTCTGGACTACAGGCTATTTCCCTTTTCCTTTTTGTCATATGGCTTTGTCAACCGTGGAAGATCGTCGGGAACTATGAGGACATATCAGCCACCTTGTTATTCAGGCCTTCCGCAGGACAGTTTCCTGATGTTGATGTACAAAGCTTGCTTCTTACTGAAGCTATGAGAAATACTTTGTCCTTAAGGCCATTCATAGGTAAGTTTCCTGATCTACAATGCGCAAAGCTTGTTTTCTTGCAGTTTCTTATCTTTGGTAGCAATCATTTCAGATTTCTGTCATATATAAATTGCACTATATTTTGGGAACTTGGCGCTCCCAATTTCATTGGTGAAACTGACCACACATTGCTTTTGGATCGTCCCTATGGTTCAAAACAATCAGGAAGGTACTGTAAGACCCCCAAAATACTGAACAACGCCAGAACATAACCTGTTACAATCTCCAACTCACCAAGAGTCCATTTTTCCTCTGTTGGTTGTGCGGTGATGATGTTCTGCTATCTTTGCTATATCTGCCCGCAGGAACACTCGGGTCGTGTATCCTTTTAGCTTACTGGCTATTCGATTTCGATGTAGGAACCACATGAATGCATGAGAATATGCTTCTTTTGCATATTATTACTCCTATGACATTTTAAATGTACACAGATTTGGTCGCTTCTCTTGCTTACGGAGTACTTTTATTCGCCGTAAAAAAAGAGTACTTATGTTCATTGGTTGTCAATTGTAGCTACTGATGTTAGGAAAGAATAGCGTCTGGACTGAACAGCTCCACTGTTGTTCAGGCCTTGGCCGACCCCGCCGCCTCCTCCGCTGTAGCCGCCCACCCCATCGCGGCCTTTGTTGGCGCGATCATCGTCACCAATCCTGCCTCCGCCTCCATGCCGCCGCCACGGTTCTGCCCCCACCCTGGCTGGTCGTCGTCGCGGCCGCACCGCCGACAAAGAAGCAACGAGCCGCCAATCCCTGCGGTGGAGGTGTGTAAGTGGCCGGCGGGACGCAACCCGGCAACGAACCCATCCATCTCTGGTGGCAAAAAAAATCGAAGGCGGCCGTGGGTGCGTCGGTCGATTCGCTGCTGCTAGCTGTGGCGTCCACACTCAAGGAACCCCCACTCCACCTTCGTCGCCGCCGCCGGCGACCATGGAGGAAGACATGGTCACGCCCATGGCCACCGCATCCAACATGTTTGACAAAATGCCGCCGACCAGATCACTTTGCATCATCTATTGGAGTTGCATTTCTACATCTCCAATATACATCATATGTTGGAGTTGTCTCTTTTTTGGAGATGTAAAATGCACTTTTTGGCGATGTAAACTTTATATCTCCTACTTTTACATTTTTAAATTTGCATCATCTATTGGAGATGCTCTTAGAAATGTCACCACCGCTGTAAATCATACCCTCTGCGTCTAGCCATCGTCCATAGATGGCATCTCATCATCGAAGGCAAACTGGCCAGAGTGAGAGCCACCAAAATTCGCAAAAGAACCAAAAAAGAACTCTCCATTCAAGCGGCACGGCGGCCCTGTATTGTAACGCCCGGATAATCATGCTACAGTAATCCTGTGATAATGATGCCACGTCGCCAGGGTTACTGTTGCTAACCTATCGCTAGTTCAAAACCGATTCAAATTTAAATTTAAAATAAAGTTAAATAATAAAGTTTTCAAAAGTTAAAACAAAAATGGTCGGTGCGTGCAAATAAATGCCTGAGAATTTATGGTGTAGTAAACACTTTTTTATAAAAGGCCTAAATAATTTAAAATGATTTAAAACAGAAAAATAAATAAATAAAAGAAAAAAAATACGAAAGGGAAATACTAAACAAAAAAACCAAAGAAAAGGCCCCCTTGGCCAGGCCCAGCTGGCTGACCCATTTGGGCCCAGCCGGCCCCTAGACTCTCTCCTTATCCCTACTAGGGGGAAAACCCCACCCACCGACACCTCCACTTCCCCTCCCACGAAATATCTCCCCCCTGTCTCTCTCCCGATTGGATCGGGATCGAGAGGAGGCCGCCGTCGCCGCCCCCGCGCCAGGACCACGCCGCCTCGCCGTTGGACGCCGCCACGCCGGAGCCCCTCCACCGGCCTGCCTCCTCTATGCCGGAGCCCCTCCACCGGCCTGCCTCCTCTACGCCGCCGTCCCCGTCGACCACCCCGACTCCCACTACCTCGTTCCCTATGCCCCCATGTGAGCCCCGCCGCCACGCTCATCTTCGCGCGCCCCTCCTCGCTTTCTCCCTGCTCGTGCGCGCCTCGCCTTCGGCAGCCTGGTCGCGCCTGCCGGGGCCTTCTTCGGCCTCCCCTGACCGCCTGCGCGCCCGCCTGGGTCTTGGCTTCCCAGGGCCGCGGCTCCGCAGCCCGCGCTTGCCATCGCCGCTGCGCTGCGCTCGCCTCCTCCCCTGCGTGCTGCTTGGGGCCGCGCCCAGCGCGCCACTGCACGCAGCCCCTGCCCCCGCACAGTCGCGCCCACGGCCCGCTCGCCGGACCTGCTGTTGCCGCCCGCATCACCGCCGCCGCTGCTGCCGCTCCGTCCCCGCCTCGCCTGGCCGCCCCGTGCGCTCCCCGCTCGCCTGTCGCGGCTCCGCCGCTCCAGCCTCGCCACGCTCCCTAGAGCTCCTCTGCTCCGCCTCACGGTCGCGCTCCCGCTCGGCCCTTGGCCTCGCCCGCAGCCCCCGTGCGCTGCTCCCGCGTCCACCCGCTCTGCCGTAGCCACCCAGCTACCCATCATCGCCGCTGCGCCCGAGCCGCCCATCCTCGCCGGCGCGCCCCTGCGTTAGGGCGACGTCGCTCGGGTCACCCATTAGCGCCCGCCCGTCGCCTTGTAGCCCGCGCCCGTTAAGGCCCCCCCAGGGGCCTATGACAAAGTGGCCCCACCCTGCAGAACATTTATAAAAAAAGGAATTAAAAATATATAATAAATAAATATTAATAATAAAATTAATTAACTAAATAATTAACTTAATTAATCATGTTTAGTTAAACTAATTAAACGTGATTAACCTAAAGTATATAATTAACCTAACTAATCTGTTAGTTAGGGTGATGTGTCTATGACAGACGGGACCCGCACGTCAGTTTGACCCAGTCAACCCCCTGTTGACTGCTGACGTCAGCAAACACTATTCTGGATAATGTTGATTTAATTAATTAATAAATCCTAAAATTGATTTAATTCTTTTAAAATTAATATAAAATAAACCGTAGCTCGGATGGAAAAACTTTGTACATGAAAGTTGCTCGGAACGACGAGACGAATCCGAATATGCAGCCCGTTCGTCCGCCACGCATCCTTAGCATAGCAAACACGCAATTTTCCCCCTCCGGTTCATCCGTCCGAAAACGCGAAACACCGGGAATATTTTCCCGGATATTTTCCCCCTTCACCGGTACCACCTCGTACCGCGTTAGGGCACACCTGACTTCACGCTTTGTCATGTCATGCATCATCATGCATTTGTTTGCATTATATTTATTGTTTCTTCCCCCTCTTCTTTCTCTAGACACCGAGACCGACGCCGCTGCTACCCAGTACGACTACGGTGTTAACGACCCCTCTCTCTTGCCAGAGCAACCAGGCAAGCCCCCCCTTTGATCACCAGATATCGCCTACTCTTTCTCTCCACTTCTTGCATTAGAGTAGTGTAGCATGATTACTGCTTTCGATTAATCCTATCCTGATGCATAGTCTGTCCTTGCTACTACTATTGTTACCTTTACCTGCAATCCTAATGCTTAGTATAGGATGCTAGCTTATCATCAGTGGCCTTACCTGCTTGTCCGTCGGCCATGCTATACTATCGGGCCGTGATCACTCGGGAGGTGATCACGGGTATATACTATATACTTTATACATGATACATGTGGTGACTAAAGTTGGGTCGGCTCATGGAGCACCCGCGAGTGATTCACGGATTGGGGGCTGAAAGGACCTTTGTCCCAACGGCCCTCTGTGTGGATCTTTGTGGCGAAGCGACAGGGCAGGTTGAGACCACCTAGAAGAGAGGTGGGCCTGGCTCTGGTCGGCGTTCGTGGTTATTTCAAGATAACACGTTTAACGAGATCTTGGTATTTGATCTGAGTCTGGCCACTGGCCTACACGCACTAACCATCTACGCGGGGATAGTTATGGGCACTCGACGTCGTGGTATCAGCCGAAGCCTTCATGACGTCAGCAACTGAGCGGCGCGCGCCGGGTTGGACTGCATAACGCAACTTCCTTTGTAATGGAGGTTGCTAGGTCTACTCTCCGTCCGCCCTCGCAACGTGCAGGTGTGCAATGGGCGATGGGCCCAGACCCCTGCGTCATAGGATTTAGACCGGCGTGCTGACCTCTCTGTCGTGCCTAGGTAGGGCTGCGACGTGTTGATCTTCCGAGGCCGGGCATGACCCAGGAAAGTGTGTCCGGCCAAATGGGATCGAGAGTGTTGGGAAATGTGGTGCACCCCTGCAGGGAAGTTGATCTATTCGAATAGTCGTGTCCCTCGGTAAAAGGATGACCCACAGTTGTACCTTGACCTTATGACAACTAGAACCAGATACTTAATAAAACACACCCTTCCAAGTGCCAGATACAACCAGTGATCGCTCTCTCACAGGGCGGCGAGGGGAGGATCACCGGGTAGGATTATGCTATGCGATGTTACTTGGTTAACTTACCATCTACTCTCTTCTTCTGCTGCAAGATGGAGATTACTAGAAGCGTAGTCTTCGAAGCTATTCCCCCTTATTCCGGCATTCTGCAGTTCAGTCCACATATGCTACCCTTTTTCATTTCATACCAAGGCATACATATGTAGTGTAGCTCCTTGCTTGCGAGTACTTTGGATGAGTACTCACGGTTGCTTTGCTCCCTCTTTCCACCCTTTCTATACCCGATTGCTGCGACCAGACGATGGAGCCCAGGAGCCAGACGCCGCCGTCGACGATGACTCCTACTACACTGGAGGGCTTACTACTACGTGCAGCCCGCTGACGACGACCAGGAGTAGTTTAGGAGGATCCCAGGCAGGAGGCCTGCGCCTCTTTCGATCTATATCCCAGTTTGTGCTAGCCTTCTTAAGGCAAACTTGTTTAACTTATGTCTGTACTCAGATATTGTTGCTTTCGCTGACTCGTCTATGATCGAGCTATTGTATTCGAGTCCTCGAGGGCCCCTGGCTTGTAATATGATGCTTGTATGACTTAATTTATTTGTAGAGTTGTGTTGTGATATCTTCCCGTGAGTCCCTGATCTTGATCGTACACGTTTGCGTGTATGATTAGTGTACGATCAAATCGGGGGCGTCACAAGTTGGTATCAGAGCCGACTGCCTGTAGGAATCCCCCTTCCACACTCCTTGGCCGAAGTCGAGTTTAGACATTACAAAAACTTTTACTAACATGGTTGTGTGCCTTACGGGCCCACGTCGCCATCTAGGAGGTATTAGTATCTTTTACTCCTCGATCCTTACTCTGGGACTCTGAACTCTCTTCTAGTCGGGTTAAACGATTTTACTAACTTTAACATTAGGATCCCGTGATCACGTTCACCCCAAAGTTGGATAAGCCCTAGCTATTCTTTAGAGTAGTGTTGGAACATTATCCACATTGTCATTTGACTCCTGTGAAAACATCTTTGTTTTCAGATGGAACCCACGAGACAGGTCGTGCGCCACATGACGGCCATTGGTGCCTCAGGGTCACCTGCTGTGTTGGTTGAGATGATGACCTATCTGGGTTATCGCTGGCACCCTGAGTACACCGTCTACAAGGAGTACCAGGACTTCAACCAGGAGCAGTACCGTGCCATCTTCCACCTCTACTCTTGGGTGTATGACTCCACTACCGTGCTGCACACTGCTCATGGTGTTGGAGTGACTACCGACATGGCGGTCCACGATGCTGCTTATGCTGCTCTGACACGTCTTCGTGAAGAGTATCAGGAGTTGGACACCTCCCCCTTCAGGCACATTGCTATCGCATCCGATGTTGGTGCGGAGGGATACTACACTGCTGCCTACTCCATTGTCACCCGAGAGCCCTTCTACCATCAGAACCTGGTTCTGCATGCTGATGGGCTGGATAGAGCTAACCGAGCTCTTCGCCACGAGTTGTACACCACTCGTCAGCACCTGTACCGTGCTCTGACGCTATTGCACCCCTCTGTCCGATCTGGTGATCT